TCTAAAATAATTCTGCTTTCCTTTTACGATCAGAAGAGAAAACCTCAAACGCTGTTTCTTTAAAAATAGGAATTAATGAGATAGCCAAACTTCCCGAAGCATTTTCATGTATATAATTTTACTCTCCTAAACAGCCTGGAAAGCTGGGAAGACAGATGGCTCGTTTTACAGATGGAGGTGGGGGATGGAGCAAAGGCACTGGTTCAGACCATGCAGAAGGTCCCGGCAGGAGTCGGTCAGCCTGGTCTGGTCTGACTCTCCCCTGGGCTGGGCCTCCTCTTGAGGTTTCCATAGCCTCGTTTGCTCCCAGTGCATTTCAACAAACTGTGTGTGGCTTTCCCAGCCTCTCAGGTCATGGTGGGAAGCCCCGAGGGTCCCAGAGACGGCAAGGACAGTTCCTGTCTCACAGGACATCAACTCCTGGTGAGATGAGCATGAGAGGTTGACAAAAGAAATCTCAATATGACATGAGAAGGGGCTGCCTGTACAGTGTGCCGTGGGTACTCAGAGGGTGGAGTGACTAATTCTGTGGCAGGGGCGGGAGATGAGCATAAAAAGTTACAGAGAGGAGGTGACATTTAAATTGCAACTTGCTGTCTGGCGTGTGAGTCCAGGCCCCCAGTTTGGCAGACCTAGACTTCACCCCCCCATACCTTAGACCAAGACAGGCTTCTTCTCTCCCCAAAGCTTCCATTTATTCTGCTGAAAAAAATGGGTCACCATCAGCTCCCTTGTGATAGTTTGCTGAATAAACAAGATGACAGACGTGAAGCCGGTGGTTACTTCAACGCACTGAGCTTGTATCGTCACTATCAATAGTAATATGGCTGCCTTTTTCTATTCTCCCCTAATGAAAAATTATTTCCTGTAGTAGACAGGTGATGGGACAGTATCCCACGTACAGGGAACAGTCTCTGATAGCCTCCGACACTTTGGAAAGTGGCAGTAAGTTGGAGATGGGCAAAGTGACCTGGAGGAGGTCAGGCCCCATTGTGAGGCTGGTGAGAGTGAGCTGAGGAGTCCTGGTGGCTAGGAAGGCATCCTGAACTCCAGGGTGCTGGTGGGTGCCATTGGAGACATAAAGCCAAGGAATGGCCCAGTATGTGTCTTAGAGAGATCCAGAAGGCTGGATGGAGAGGGCAGGAAAACAGGGAGAGGAAGAAGACTTTGAAGGCCCCACAGGGGTCCACCCAGAGGAGACAAGGGCTCACAGTGGCCAAGTCTTGCAACTGAGCTGTGTAAAGACTTCTGGGACTTTGAAAGCTCCCCATTGAGGTGAACATAGCATCCCTCCCTCTCACTACTAACCTGTAATGAGGCAGGAGGGGATGGTGAGCGACACTCCAGGAGGATACAAGGTCAGCCTTCAGTGGGTTGGAAGGAGGGTGGGTGACACGCAGGTGGGGTGAGTCAGAAAAGGACACCTGCTTATGTGGGCAGCCCCCTCATGGGACCATAAGCTCTCTGAGTCCAAGGATACCTCTGTGGTCTTCTCTCAGTGTCCTTGGCACCTGGCCTGACACAGAGAAGGGGCTCAAGGACTGTGTATTGAAGACAGTGACTATGAGGTGCACCTGAGCACTCTTGGAAGGGACAGGTGCCTGTTGGTAGAGATGAAGCCGCTGTCCTGGGTGTGCAATGTCAATTGTGTTTAGCATGGCTGGGCTTTCGCTGTCATTGATCCCAGGTTCTCAGCTACTAAAGGTAGATTGTTTTTTATTTGAAAAACAAAACCAAGAAAACAGAAAATAATGACAACAAGAAGTAACTTCCTGTCACTTCCATCACCTGCCTGATTTCCGCCTGCAGCATGGGTTTGGTTGTTTGGCGCTCAGCTCTGGAGTTCAGCAATTAAAATGACTCAGCCGGCCTGGTTCATGAGGAAGCATCACCGGGTGTCACAACATTGTGTGCGCTACCTGGGAAACCAGATGAAGCGCAGAGCAGAGGTCACGGTGTCTAGCTGGCAATCTGAAAAAATGCACATTGAGGTTTTTGTCAGCAGAAAAAATTATGGGTTTCTTTTGAGTGAAATTTCATGTAATATACTTATGGATCCTGAGAATTTATGAAAGCCACTCATGATAATAAAAGCTTTCCCTCACTTTGCGGCATATAATCCTTTTGTTTGATTGTATTGTCTTTTCACTTTGGTTTTGTGGTTGCGGTGGAAGCCAAGGAAAAATGCTTTGCCCGTAATGCTCCTCCAGATAGACAGACCCCACCTCTTTTTAAACTGCATTTGGTCTCAAATGCACTTGGTCACATGAAATAAATGCTGACATTTTAATAGAAACATTACAGCAAAAATAGTTAACAATCTGCTTTAATTTCAAAACTCATTTTCTCTCTCATACAGTGAGGCAGTATCTTGGTAAAATGTTCCAAATGCATTGGGATTTAATTATGATGGCAATTTATTCTGAAATGAGATTAAGCTGGGCTGTACAGAATAAAGGTGCAGGGAGAAGGCCAGAGCAAGTTCATGTTCCTGAGACCTGAAAGCCAGGTGGCCACCGTGGAGGGAGAAACCTTGGGCACAATAACTGCTGAAGACCCTAGCCCTGGGAGCTCAGGTGTAGACTGCACCGTCCTGGGTGAGGATGATAGACAGGGAATGCTGATAGTGACTTATTACCGTCTCCTCCCACCGGATCCAATTTATCCATAAATTTATTCCTGCAGCAAATATCTGAATCCGACTGTGGTGAGTGCTGGGAATGCAGGGATGCCCAAAATATGCACATTCTACCTTAAAGGATGCAGGCCTTAGGGAGAAATGCAGTCCACAAAGAAGAACATAGATTAGTGCACAGGGACAACTGTGCCAAGGACTTAGAGAGCAAGGTCTCTGTTGCCAGGTGAGACTAAAAAGCGCCCTTGGCGTGGTCTTAGTCACTGGCGTCACTATCCGGCAAGCCTCAATGGAGCTGGCAACAGGGCAGGGCGGGGGTGTGGTGTGGGACACTCCATGCAGGAACAAGTGTGTCTCCTGATCCTTGAGGGGCTGTAAGCATGGTGGGTCCGTGGAACCCAAGGAGCCTCAACACCATCAGAGATCACACAGGCAAAGCGCCCCCTGGAGTTCACAGGAGAGGAGGCAGGGGCGGGTCCTCCCAGCCTCTGGGTCATGGACTTAACTCCCTAAGTTTATCAGGAAGCCACTGAATGGTTTTCAGGCAATGTGCGACATGGTTCAGGTCTAAATTTTTGTAGTGCTTGCTTTGGCTGCTGTGAGGGGAAAGTACTGGAGGAGTCAGGGGGTGGGAGCAGGCAGCCCACTGGGAGATCCCTGTGGAGGCCCGTGGAGATGCAAAGTGGTTTGGAAAAGGAGGCCCTTCCACGGGAGGTGCACGGAAATGCAAAGAAGGGGTACCAGGCGCCAGGAGGTGTCGCAGGAATTTAGGCCTCAGGTTGGTAAAAAGCAGCTGGAGGGGAAGCTGAGTGAGAGGACCCACCAGGGTCCTGACTGTGAAGCTGGTGGCGTGTTTTGCCCCAATACATGACCCAGGCTGGGTTTGCATGTGTGCCCATTCCCTTTTCCTGGTGGTTGGGCATAATGATCACAGAGCACCTTTGTTTCTTGGAACTTAAAACAAAATACCTTTTGAGCAGATAGCGAATTGCCGTGAGCAGTGAACCAATGGAGCTCACACATCACCCCCCACCCAGCACCTCCTTCCCTGGGTGACTTGGCAAGGCTCCTGGCAGCTCATCTAGGCTGCCTTCATCTAACTGGCCCCTGCTTCAGGTGGAAGGGACCTGGCTTTGAAGTCTCCTTCATTTCTGGGATATGTGATTCTGTGTTTCAAGAATCCTTGGATCCCAGACTGCGGGCGGGTCCCATGTGCCCGGTGTTCTTCTGGGTCACTCCACTTGGTTCCTCACCAAGTATTGCCATGGTTTTTGATGGTTCTAATAAGGTCAGGAACAATTTGTCCCTCACCCTGAGGAAACCTTGAGCCTGTGTCTGGCGCCAGCTGCAGCCGCCTGGGGGCGTCTTCCCTCCTCTCTCACAATTTACTTCAATCACCAGTGAAGGAAGGCAGGTGTGTTGCTGAGTGCCTGCTGTGTGATTGTGGGGACATCCTTGTCAGGTAGGGGTTCTGCTTTATATAAAGAGGAGTCAGAGGCTCACAGAGGTTAAGCCATTGCCCAAGGTCACCTAGAACAGAGAAAGGAGCAGAATGCTACCAAACCCAAGATTTCTGATTGCTGGTCCAGGTTTCGGTTTTGGTTTTGATTCCTCCTAAATTGGTCTTTCCTGAAGTGGGGGCCCGAGTCTCCTGACTCCCACACGTTGGCTTGGGGTGCAGTTGGTTGTGGAGAGGGTTGGCTCACCTGATAAGGAAGTGTTTTCTTTTCAGTTCTCTCTCATGCCTCCTGATTCGTCGGGTGGAACATGGTCTGGTGTCAAGGTGGCTTTAGGATGCACTCAGTGGGGCTTGTAACCCTTTTCACAAAGAGCTGGTCTAGGGCCCAGCACCCCCAACTTTCAAAAGCACAAACACTTTTGAATATAATAAAGTTACTGTTATTTTGTTTTCTATTTTTGGATGATGATTCTGCTTTTCTTTGTATTGGTGACACAAAGGAACCTTTTAAAAACAAACAAATTAAGCAGGAAATAAAGGAAAACATGGAGTAAATCAGAGTCAGGTGTACGGGCCTAATGATAAAAATCCTGAATTCGTGTCTCTCTGAATGCGACTGGGGATGCCTGCCTTGATTCCTGTCACTCCCTCACACGGAGAGGCTCCATGTGACCATTGAGACACTAACTTCTAAATCTGTTCTTTCTTTATCCCTGAAAAATGTCTTAAAGCAATTATAACAAATGCCATCCTTGCCCTCCAGGACCATCAAGGCTTGCTTATAATCCAAATCAACCCCTCCAATAATGGAGACTTCAAACCTAGGAAAAATATTTAAGTTTATTGCAAAAGATAATATTCCATTTAAAACGGTTTAGAAATTTACAAAACCTTACATTAGTACATTGTCTTTAAGAAGGTGCTCTATACGGGAGCAGGTACGGAGATCCGGGGCAGCGGTACGCACTGTTTAACTACAGAGAAAGCGGCTACATAAATTCCTGCAATTTAAGTTGATGTATCAATCTTTCCCCCTTTAGTTTTATAAAAGCAATTTTTGCTAAGTTAATCTTTCTCCACAAAACCATATCGCCTCCAGTGAAGCATTTCTGTAGAATATCATGGTCGATGTCACCAATACTTTACAAAGGAGCAGCGGTCTGCAATGGGGAGGTGAACGTAGAGTTTTGGTGTATGTATGTGTAGTTGTTTAAGCACAGATACAACCCTTTTTGTCCGTCAGGAAGGTGTTTATCAAATCCTTTTTCCTCATAATGATTTTGAATGTTTGATTTTCAGAAGGGACCTCCGTCTCGTTTTCAGGTGGGTGGCCCAAGCAATGCGGTGTTGTGCTTTGGTATAGAATCAGTAGAGCCTCAGTTGGTTTTATTTCTGGAAACATCAACATTTTTCAGTTCTGATTTCATTTAATTCAGTTGAGGGTTGATGCAAGGTCCCCAGCTGGATATGTGTGTGATGCCAGGAGCTTCTTAATTTTGTGTGAGCTGTATTCTCCCAGGCTTACTGGGGCAAATGCTCTCGATAGCTGAGTGGCTCTGTCCATTTGAAGTTGGAAGTTGCCCGGATCTTGCAGAGTAGGTAAAGCAGGCGCTCTCACCATTCAAGGATGGACAAACAGGCCCTGAAAAGTTAAGCAACTTGCCCAAGGTTAGTGGAATAGACTGCTCTGTTGCCTGGGTGTCTTAATTCTGGGAACAGGCTTATTTCCATTCCAGCATGATGCCCAAGAATATAAATTCATTTGAAATTAGCGTAAGCAAACCAAATTAAGATGGAAACTCTACTACAAGAGAAAATTACATAAGAGATCTCAAATGATTTCGCCCTATTGGATTATCCTCTGCGCTGTTCTTTTCCATTGCTGGGGCCCACTGAGAGCAGACTGTATGGATACAGACAGAGAGATCAGTGGCTTGTAGCCAGTGGTAGCATGTCTTATTGAAATGTGGTTTCTTAAGTATGACAAGTGCATTTATCTTAATTCTAACTTGACGTTATGTATTCCGTTCTCATTTTGTGGGTTTAAACATTATACTAGAAGCAGAACAAGAGCATCTTGAATGACATTCAAAGACTTAAATAGTGCAAGCTGAGATTCCTTGCCAAATTTCCCTCTCACTCTCCCTGAAATAGCTTTGTGCACTGCAGGCCTTTCAGAGGGGAAGGTGAAGCTGCAGGGTGGTTTGCTCAATTAGCTTCAGTTGGCAGTAGGGTACACACGTCCCATATACACACGGGGTGCCGTGCACTACCAAGGCTTTCACTGAGACCCTGGGTCCTGGGCCAAGGGTCCCTGAAGTGCCTTCCTCCTTTAAAGCTGAGTTAGCTTTAGGACTCATTCCTGTGGCTTCAATCCAACCACAGGCCAGCAAGGAATTTAATGTGCAGGAATCTGAGCCTTGCCACCCTACCCATCAGCCTCAAGAGTATGAAGCAATTACTTCCTTCTACGTTAGGGCTTGGCACAGCCATACAAGTTTTCCTGGACTCCCCAGGTAGAGGGGTCCTGTCAAAAGAAAGAGCCAGACCCAAAGAACTCAGATTTTGGGAAGGGAAGGCCTTCAATGCTAGAATGGAGAAATGTATATCTGCTGCCTCTTCAATCAAGTGACCGTTGCCTGGTTTCCGGGAAGGGAGACCAAGAGGAATGGTGTGTGTTTTCCTAGCTACGAGGCTGGCACAGGGATGCATGGATGAGAAGGAGTGTTGTATCTCAGGTTCACCTCCTATCTGTCACAGATAAGATGTAACTGAGAGGCAGCAGAGTCTCCTGCCCTCTGATGTTGCAGGAGAATTAACTGCTATCTCAAAGGTCAAATGCCAACTGGGTCCTACCCACTTTCCAGGCAGCCTAAGGCCGGGCAGAGATGCTTGATAAGTTAAAAACTACAGTGTCAGTAACTCTCTTTGAATTCCAGTCACCCAGGACGGCCACACTAAAAAGTCTTGGATATACCTTACACTGCATGGACTGAAGGCCCACACTGTGTGACAGTGCTCCTTGGTTTGGTATGGAGTGGCTAATTAAAAATGAAAAGGACCCCAAGGTGCCAGGATGACCTTGCTTTTCTGTCATGCCCATGTGCGCTGATAGCTAGGAAACTCCCAGGGTTTTCATCTGATTTTTCCCCAGGATATCTGCTTATAACCCTCCTCTATCTTCCTGCTCTGCACAGCATTTCTTTCTTTCTTTTTTTTTTCCTTCTGAGTTCATGAGACCAGGACGGGATGAAGTGCTCAGCATCATGGTGGTGTGGGAAAGTGCGGTGGGGGTTTTGCCCGTGGTGGGAATCTGGATGTAGCAGATGGGGATGAGGCCTGGCCATGTGTGACAGGGAACTCAGCTCGTGGTCACACCAGAGTCTGTGAAGTCCTCAGCAAGCAGCGGCACACACTCAGATCAGGTGGGTGATCGAGTGTCCGGCAGCGGCCACATAGGCCCCAAGCTCCCTGGCTTCACAGGTCAAGGGCTCCCAGCCCTGGGCCTTGGTAAAGAAGCCCGGGAGGCTCAGACAGAAAGGATTGACAAACAGGCCCTGGGAGCTCAGATCCACCAGAAGCACTTCCTCTTCACTTTCTTCGTTTTCCGCCTCAGATCCTGTTTCTCAGGGGCCGGGGGTTCTGCTGGGGACTTTGGTGGGGAAGATGCTTCCTCAACTGGTTCCACTTCCTCTAGACTCTGCAGAACTTCATGGAACCTTCCTTCCTGCTGCCGAAAATCATACTCTACACTGAAAAACAGAGGAAGGAAGAAAAGTAAATTCAAATCAAAACACACTGATTTTGCGTCACCAGGTCCCCAACTGGCAAGAAGAGCAAAGGCTTTGGAATCAAGTCACTGGTCCTTAGAGACCCAGTGGCTGACTGTGTGGCCTTGAGAAGGTTATGGCACCTCTCTGAACCCCTCATTGTTCATAGATTGAACTGACACCTGCAGTGCGTTCCTCACAGGGCTGTTACCAAGTGTGGATATGATATGTAACAGAGAGGCTCTGCTGGGTGTTCAGTAAATACTGGAGGCCGTCTTGGTGCATCTGCAGTCCTTATTGTTAATGTAGGCTATTATACATTAGGCATGAAAACTGCCTCATTATAAAATATTTTAATAATAAAAGGAACATTCAAATAAAACTGAGCTCCGTTTCCTCATCTGTGACATGGAGGCAGTAATGGCACCTTCTTGGGAGTTGGCATGTGTAAGGTGAGATGATACAGATGATGTGCCCAGAGCAGTGTCTGACATGGGGCCACCCTTCCTGCTTTTGCCCCTGTTGCTGGCATCTCATTATCACCAGCACTGCTGGTGTACTGGGCCTTGCTCTTCAAATTGCTTCTCGACTTAACAAGGTGTATTGAGAAATTTACATATGAGAGCACCTCACAGCATTTCCTCTGTTCTGAGAGATTAAATATTCCTTTAGTGAAGGACCAGTCGCCTTTTTTCATTTGTGCATTTTAGAATCATTAATGCACAGACTTGGTTATTCTGTGTTGATGGCCACAGAGGTCTATGAAGTAGATGTGAGCTGTGGGGACCATGTAACTGAGAGGCAGCAGAGTCTCCTGCCCTCTGATGTTGCAAGAGAATTAACTGCTGTCTCAAAGGTCAAATGCCAACTGGGTCCCACCCATTTTCCAGGCAGCCTGAGGCCAGGCAGAGATGCTTGATAAGTGTAACTCTCTTTGAATTCCAGTCACCCAGGACGGCTACACTAAAAAGTCTTGGATACCCTGGGGTATTCTTCTTCTTTCTCTCCGCTGCCCCTGCTTTCCAGGGAAGAAACCGGCTGAGAGACACAAGGGGAGCAGTCTATTCTGTAGCCCGCAGGATGAGGTGAGCAGGGAGTTGCAATCTCTGAGGAGTGGGTGCTGTGCTCCCCCTGAGCTCTGTGTGTCAGAGAAGCTGGGGAGCCAGCCTTAGCCTACCTGTGACCCTGCTCGGCCTCCCAGAACCCAGTGAATCTGGCTGCAAAGAAGGGTTCCTGTTAGGCATGGCTGCGGTGGGTAGGAGCTCCCCCGTCTTAACAGTTCTCTTCCCCCAAGGAGGTTCACCTCTGCCAGGCGCTTGGAGAAGGCCTTAGGCTTTCAGATGTGTTCGTTGCCTGCTTTGGCACCAGGGTTCTCGGGAGGTCCAAGGATGAGGAGCCCGCATGGGGGAGTGGAGGGGGAGGGAATGTGGGGTCATGAAGAAGGCAGAACAGACTCCTGTTCAGCCAGGAGGAAAATGATGTGCACAGAAGACCAAAGACCCTGCCCACGCTGCTTTGGGAAGTGGCATGACTGGCTAGAGCCTCCATCCCCAGCAAGGGCTGAAAAGAAGCCCTCATTAAAGGGTCACCTGCCCTCGCCTACTATCCTCATATCACCTCTCAGAACTCAGGTTAGTGCTGCTGAGAAGGTAAATCACAATTGCCACATGTGACTAATGAAGCCCCAAAGATGCCTTGTCACCGAGCATTCTGAGAGGGAAGAAACTGGCTGAGAGACACAAGGGGAGCAGTCTGTTCTGTAGGCAGCAGGATGAGGACGGGTTCATGGGGAGCCCTGGGGAAGGGCATCTAATTGCCCCACTTCTGGGTTTTTGATGAGCTTCCCCCAGATTTTCCTCTCTTCTGCTTGCATTCTTTCTCTTTCTGTTCCTCCCTGATCCTCTCTGTAGGGACATAATCCTGGTGGGTGACCTATATGACGGAAGAAAACAGGAAGTGGTTTTCAAAGCAAACCTCCTCAGCATATCAACAGTGAGATCTTGGGGAGTCTTTTCCCATTTTTGAGCAGCAGACTCCTCATGTGCCAAGTGAGCAGGGCACCCACTCAGAGGATGAAAAGGCAGTGCCCAAACAGTGTGCCCCACAGAGTGGGCATCAGGTCTAAATACCTGTCCCCTAATAAGTACTGGTTGAACATCTTCCAGGTGTTAATCCCTGTTCTAGGATCTGGGGAAGGAATGGTAGACAGACCAGCACTCTCTGGGGCCTCCTGGCACTGCTAGTCCAGTGTCTGAGCCCTCAGGTCAACATTGTGCCTGTTAGGGACCTTCCAGCCAAAGCCCAGGATGTGCCAGATCAGCGGGCAGAGACACCCACAGACTCACACAGTGACTCCCATACTTCTGTATGCATCGCAGATCCTGCACCCTGATCAGTCTTGGGGGGATGAGTGGGTTTCCATCTGTACCACCTGGACCTTGTTCTTCCCAGTGGAAACTTAATGTGATGGATTCAGAGTCTGGGGAGACTTGTCCCCAGCAACCTCTGCATTGCACCAAGGCAGGAATATAAAACAGCAAGTTGCAAGCTCTGATTCTTACCCTTGCAGCACTGGGAAAACATGGCTCACAAGTAGGGAGCATTCATAGTCACTATTCCCCTTAAATAGAGCCATCCTACCTAGTACATCAGAAAAACCATCTTCATTGTAGAGTGTCAAGCAGAGTCAAAGAGAATTGAGTACCAGCTCGTTCTAGAATTTTCCATGCTATATGGTATAGAACATCCCACCCACCCATCCATCCATCCTTCCATGCTTCCATCTGAGCTCAACACTGTGCTAGGTCCCATCGACATGCCAGGGAGCTAGACACACTGGATACTGTCCCCATGGATCTCACTTCCCAGGGTACTAGATGGCGATTACACTAACAGTTGCTTTCAAAACATTCTTCTTCTTTCTCTCCACTGCCCCTGCTTTCCAGGTCCTTGTCCATCTGTTCCTCCCAATGCTGTGAATACATGCAGCAGCAGATTTCTTCTCACATGTGAGATTTCTGACTTTGGAAATCAAACAAGCAAGTCCAGCAACACACCACCTGAGTTTGTCAAGATTTATAGGTGCCCCGGCACCTATTAGGAAAAGTAGCTGTGGGTGAATCCAGAATGTGTGCAGAGCTGGCCAACCTGGGGGGAAGAGCCAGGAGACAGACACTAACCCCATCTCAGGGACACAGGTTGAAGTGCAGCCCGAGGCAGAGGATGAAGTTGAACACCCACTGGTCTGAACCCAGGTGGCACTGCCCACTGGCTAGGTGACCTTGGACAGGTTCATCCCCACCCCGAGAAGCAGCCGAGTGTGGGGCTTAATAACTTCCGGTGGGTAGTTGTACAAATGGCCATGGTGGCAGGTGCCGTCACCCTGCTTGGGACGCAGTCTGCTGGATCCATGCTTCTTCACATAGTTCTTGGTCTCCAGGTCTTAGGGACATGCCTCACCTCTCATCTGCACCTTTGTCTCCTCAGTAATTACACACCTGGCCCTTGGCATCACTCTCCACCCCTCCCCTCCTTGCACACTCAGGGGAGAAAACACTCCGCGTTTCTATGGAAACGCAGCCGGGCTCCATTATAATCATTGGGGATTGGGGAGCTCCCCCCTCCCCGCTGAGACTGCCCCCACTGGTCTTGACAGTTTAAAGGGGATTGAAAGTGACTTTCTTTTCAAGGCCAGGCAAATAGCAGAGTATGGAGAAGTGTGTGTGCTTTGCAAAGAAATTGATTAATGTTTTTTAGGCCAAAGCAATTTATTAACATAAAGGAAAATTGTCCCTTTTCTTCTGATTCATCTGTTTGACAAACTCTGTTTGGTTTGGAGGGGAAGAGAGGGAATATGTTTTGCTTTGGTGGCAGCTGCCTTATAAATGGGGAGGAGCCTGTGCCCTCACCCTCATCTGCTTGGCATCCTAAGACTGGGTAGAAAAGAGGAGATACCAACCCCACACCATGTTCCCCAGCCCCTGGAAAAGAGGAGCCTGTTGCCAGCTTGGTGAGGATTCTCCATGGGGAGTTGTTTGTAGATTCTGGGGGTGAGCTCTCGGCTTTGGGCCGTGGCCTGATGGTAGAACAAAACAGCCCTCCAGCCTCACCTCTCCCTCCCTCCTACCCTCCCTCCTGTGCCATGTTTGCCCACCTTGCATATTCCATGCAGGATCTTAAGAAGGAAGATAAGTGTTGGGTGCTTAGTTTATTTAGAACCCAGGGGACCAAGATTAATCAAGAAATTATTGCAGTGAAGGATTCAGGGCTGGAGCAATTGAGAAAGTCCAGCCCAGGAAAAGCATGTGGGTTGGTCCCCTGAGGATGCACAGGATACAGACCCCAAGGTTCAGGGATGCCCAGGTCACTAGGGAGCCTTTGAGCCCTTCACATCTTAGAATACGTCTAAGCATGAAACTATGCTGCATTTAGACAGTGAGCAGTATGTAAACCAGGAGTGGATGAGAACTCTCAGGGTTCCCTCTTGAGGGCACCTCACTAATCTAACTGACAGATCAATACTCCAGCCATCATGCCAGGTGGGAAGCAGAAGAATGTTTTTCTAGGTAACTGGAAGCAGCGAGAGCTCTGTATCATGGCTTGCCTGAACCAAGAAACAGTAAGGAGCAGGTGGAAAAATAGGTAAATATGTAAACACATGAGCAAGCAGTGAGCTAGGTGCTAGACGCAGGATCTTAGCTGAGCGAGCAGAAGTTGGGTGGGCCACAAGGAGATACCAACTTATATAGAAACAACAAAAAATCAAAGAAACCTCTTACTTTTATAAAAGACCTTCAAATTTGCAGAATGCTTCAGGTCTGTGTTTCATTTATCCTCAGGATATCCCAGGCAGAAGGGAAGATTGAATGCCCATAAATGCCCATAAATGGGCAATTAAAACAGAAAGATAAGTTGGCAAAGGCAAGTCACAGTGTGAATTAGGATCAGTTTTAAGCCTGGAGTCTAAGTCAGCTAAGGCTGCT